CTCTTGGTGGGTGCGAGTGTCCCGAGAGAGGAGACGGAGGGCAAGGATGAGAAATCACAGACAGAAGCAGATTTAAGGTAATAACTCGGGTGTCTTGAAAGGATCCTGTAGTGCTGAGTGGGCAGTAAAGTGATGTGAAGTTCGGTGTTAAATAAGTGAAAAGCCATAGGTATCTGGAAAACCGTCTTGACTGTACATCCTTCTGTGTGTGTGTGTGTGCATATATGTATGTATATGTTTTGCCATTTAGGAAAGATTTGTAGAGGGAAGGTATTACTGTAAAGATGTCATGCTCTGCAGCTGTCAAAAGGAAGAAACAAATACAAAGTTACCAACTGACTAGGACAAGTTACAGTAAAGAACAAGACAAAAAATCACCCCAGTGGACTGTATTTTCTGGGCTCTGTGCAGTTCTGTTTCCCCCCTAACAGAAAGCAGACTGAAATTAGAGTGGCAGGGACAGTGGGAGATATGAATAGTTTCAGAATAAAGGGAAGCCAAATAGAGGAGGGCTTGTATCTTCTCTCTGAAGCAGTTTACTAACATCTTCGTTTCGTTTTTTAGAATGATAATAAAGAAAAAGAGAAAAGAATTGCACGAGGAACCTATACAGAAGAAGAAAAATGTGAAGACTGTCATTAAAATTGAGGAAGATGTTCCAACTGTCATTAAAATCGAGGAAGATGACAGGCTTGAGATAAAAACAAAAATAAGGAAAAAGGTACATTTTAAAGATGAATGTTTTGACCAGTCACAACCAAAGAACAAGAAGAAGAAAAACAAGAAAAGGAAAGTTGGCTCCAAATTACTCAAAGAAGCACAGTCAGAAAGCTTTGTGATTGTAAAAGGTCACCTGGATTCAGAACTTCAGGAGGAATCAGAGGAACAAATTAAAATTCTCAAAAAGAAGAAAAAAAAAGTCCCATGTCATTCATCCTTAGAGATGAATAATGAGAGTAGTGGCATGGAGCTTTCAAATTATCCTACAGATGATATTAAGAACACTGAATTTTCTTTTAAAAAAACCAAAAAGGATGCTGCTTTGAATTTGGAACTGGATGGTGAGGTAACAAAGAAAAAAAAGAAGAAAAGCAATTCTTCTTTTTCATTAGAGGACATCCAGGACAGTGAACAAAAGCAGTCTGAAAGAGTTTGTAAAAAGCCCCACAAATACATTTCACAAGAAGTAGCTTTTACAGGTGAAAACCATGACACACATAATGTCCAGAACGATGGGGAGAGTTGTGTGAGAAAAAAGAAGAGGAAGAAGAAGGATAAGTCTTACTCCTTTTTACCACTAGTAGATAATGAGGACAACATATCTGGAGTTCCTGGTAGGCCCATTGCATTAAGTGACTTCAGAAAAAGGAAGAAGCAGAATTCCTGGGAAATTACATTGACAAATAGAGAGGAAGAGGACACAACTGAGGACTCTGGGAGTATCAAAGAGACTAAGAAGAACAAGAACAGAAGCAAATGTGTTTCTTCCTCGGCAGGTGAAGATCAGCTAGACTGCAATCACAGCATTCCTGATAAGTATCTCCCAGCACAGCAAGAAGTTGACTCTGAGGAAGAGAAGCTGTCTGGAAAAAAGAGGAGGAAGAATTTCAAGGGTAGTAATGAAGTCACCAAGAAGAAAAAGAAAAAAAAGATTCACAAAGAGGAGGAGGAAACAACATATTCAAAAGTTGCTTTAAACAATGATAGTGCCTCTAAAAACCAAAAAATAAGACTACCAGAAAGAAATAAAAAGAACAAAGGGAGCGAAATGGAGCGAGCTGAGCGTGTAGCAGGGAATGCTGTAGATGGGGCATTATGCAGTAGTAATCACATGCTCTGTGACAGGAAAGGGAAAAAAAGGAAAAAAGCCCCACCACAGGACTTGGCTGAACAACCAGGTTCAGAAGCAAATGCAAAAAAGACAAAGATCATTACAGAAGACACAGGGAATGAGTCACTGGTAAGTTGTAAAGAGGAGGGCAGCTTTGCCCCCTCCTGCTAAGGAATCAAAAGCTTTTTAGGTACAGTTCCTACTTTGCAGGCTGTTCTGCCTGATCAGAATATTTGAAGTCAGTGAGGACCCCCACTATTCAGAAACAGGATTAGCTGATGTATTGATTTTAGCATATTGATTTTAGCTGTGACACGTGGGAAAGTATAACTTAATGCCTGGTGCTGTAATCATGCAGTGGTTCAGTCATGAAAATGTGAAAACTACAACTAACAGCAAGTACTGGCACAAAAAGAAAACGAGTGTGTGAAGTCATAAATGTTCTTCTTCGGTTGCTCTTCACAAAGTGGCAACACTCCTATAGAATAGGATTGCAGTGTCTTCAAGTTCTGTGGAAACCTGGCAGCTGCCTGGTGCCTAATGCTAATAATTAAATATAGATTTATGTGAAGAACCAGATACAGGCGTTTTTCACAAGGGTTTGTGAGGGAAATGTGTGCTTATCAGTCACGAGGTGAGCAGATGTTTTGGGCTTTTAGCTTCAGTTTCTCCTTTTGACCTTTCAAAGGACAAGGTGGTTTTATTGCTGGGATATATTTTCTAATGAAGTTGACATTGCCTTTTTGAGGCTGTTAGACATTATTTGGATTCTTGCAGCTGCTCACATTGTGCAGAGGCAAGATAAGCCTCACAATGACATGTAAACTTGCATGACCAGTTAAAATGAAAACCACAGCAAATACATTGCAAACTATTGAGGGGAAGGTGATACCTGTTTTATTTCTCATTCCCATATGCACCTCTGTCCTTTAATAATAAAAAATACTTCAGAGAAAGTCTCCTGAGGATTGAGAAGTCTGGGTTAATCAGTTCTAGCAAAATCTAGTTCCTGCCAGGCCTAATGACACTGCACTAATAAATGGCTGATGATGTTGGTCTCACATTTAACTGTGCCATAGTCCTGAAACATCCCTGTCTAACAGTGTGTCACACACTGCATGCCTTGAAAAATCCTCTGTGAGGCTT